GAATTTCTGAGAAGAGAAATTATTATTATTATTTACATGCAGTCTATTGTCCTCACCTTTGTTGCTGTTATCATGGTGTTTCAGCTGTTGTTTCCCAATGTTATTTGCAGGTAAGTGAATATAATTAACTTGATTGAGTAATAATATGATTTTTTACACATTCTTAGGAGATATTTAGATATATTCTTTTTCCTCTTGGAAATCTTGTCTCCAGTTCATCTTTTAAGTCAATTTAATGACCAAAGTTTTCAGGATTCCTGTCTCCAGCCTGCCTTTGAATTTGCAAACTTAAAATTTTGTTAAAGATTCTAAATAATCATAAATGCACAGTCCTTTGAAAAACTGACCACCCATCCAGCTTTTGGGTGGTCTTCTTTTCCAGAATAAAAGTGGATGGATGGGGTGGTGGGACCACGGCCAGTGTCCATATAATGAGCAGTCAGTGAGGAAGGTACTAATGAGCAGTCACCAAGATAGGGCAGTGAATATCAGTGTCCTTTTCCCAGGGAAGTTAATAAGATAGCAGTTTAGTGCTGAAGTAAGATTGCCACTTAAGTTAGAAATCATATTGTTTTTTATTTCCCAGTCAGCATCTTGAAAAATATTTACCATTATTCTTTGTTGAATTTGATCATGGCCAAGTAGACAAACCTGTGAACATAGCTCGTCAAGTCTATATATACACACATCCAACCCATCTTGGATGTCACCACAGTTGTGCAGTGACATGCATAAGGTGTTGTCACAATTGCAATTGACTCTCTGATTACTCATTCTGAGCTGCTGTTATACCATTAAGGGAGGTTAATGTTTCACTTTCTTTAGAAAATCAACATTGCACTCAGTGTGACAGCAAAAGTTTCATCTGATAAGTACTGTGACCTTAAATTAGATTCATTGCTTTTACCTATTTTTGAGCATTTAGTTTTAAAGACCATTTGAAAAATGTACAGAAATATCTAAATTCCACAGGTTTTCACAAACAAACTGACTTAAAAATTTTTACTATTTCAAGAATAAATCCAAATAAAGTTCATATTTTTTGTACTAGATACATTGAATAGAAAATATATTCAAATCAAAATTCTAATTATGAATCACCACAAGCAAAATATGCAGTTTTTTTTTTACTGTATTTGATAAGTAAAAGTTGTAAAAAAAAAAATTGTAATTACAAAAAAGGCTATTCAATGAATAAGAATTGTTAGATGATAATTAATGAAAACAAAAAATAGATAAAATTGTCTATAACACCATAATACCGCTAGATATACATTATCAGACAAAATATTTTAAATTTGCATTGTTTATTGAAAATCACACTAAAACTATTTCACTGTATAACATATTACATCATAATATAGCTAAATTGTTCAGTATAACTTCCTTTTGAAGTAAATGAAGGTCTTATTTGATTGCATAATAGCTTAGTAATAATGTGCTTGTGCCATGCACCTTGTCCATATAGAATTTGTGAAGCTTCAATAAATTATAAATTTTATACAACTTTCATGGATTGCCAAAATGAAATTTTGAATTCTACAATTTTGAACCTAAATTTAATCTTTAAATTAATCTCTTCAAAAAATGGTAATGATTTTGAAAAAAATATTTTGTGTCGTTATTTATCATGTCAAACCCCAACTTTCAAGTTGAGCACAATACTATGCGCTTCCAAAATGGCCCTGCTCTATTATACCAACTGCACGTCCTTGTGAAGTGATAAATTAATATTTTATACCTAACTGAAGCTATTCTTGCAAAATTGTTTGGCAAGTTACCTGTATTTTACTTCACTGACAATAAATCAAAAATTATCAGAAATCATATTTTTCTTATTGATGTAAGCTTAATAGAAATTCTTCTTTCATAAAGACATTATTATATTAATTGAGATTGTTCGATGAAATGTATTAGATAATTATTTTTATTAACGAGAAGTTAATGTGGTTTTTGATTTTAATTATATGTGTAGCCAAGTATTTATATTTTGGATACAGAGATATATAAAAATTTTTCTATTAATGCTATAAAAACAGATATTTCAGGGTTTTTTTTTGTTTTTCCAACCTATATTGACATCTATTTGGAAGGATGTTCTGCCTCCACATCATGTGGAGCTCAGTTATTTACAATTATATGTGTAAGTGCAAAGCTGAATATATAAATAGAACTAATCCAATTTGGAGACAAGAATAGATCAGCATGTACCAGCTAATATCTGTCATGGGAAATGCAATAATTTTGCTGGTTAATACTTCAAGATTCAGCAACTGATGAACACTTAAAAAATAATCCAGTGTATACTATGTCATTTAGCAAAACATTCTTTACAATAATCAGCAGTGCACTTCAATTATGACTTGAAAGTATTAAAAGACATTATATATTAAGTCTAAACAGCCTTCCCTCTGCAAGCAAAAGGAATGGCTGCTGGGTTTTACTGTAATTGGAGTGTGTTAATATTTTTTTCTTTGCTGATTTCCTGGCTGTTTTTAATTTGATTTTTTAAACATTGTGCACACAGTTTACAAGTTTGTTCTAGATTGGCTCTGAAGAGTAATGATCGAAAAATGGTTAGCCTCTTGTTTGTTATTTTCTTGTTCATTGTTTTCATCTCTTCTTCCCCATGTTTGTTGATTTTTTTTTCTGTACAATTTTAATGTCTGTTTTCATAGCATTAATAAAATTTTGTAACCCCCACCTCTACAGAATGTAAAAGTTTTTCTATTTGTTAATCTAGTAAAAGGTTCTAACTATTTAGAGCTTATTTGATATTAGATATATTCCCTTCCTCTGTCTGTCTGTCTCTCTCTGTGATGTAATATTTATTATTTATAATATTATAAAGAAATCATTATGAAAATGATTTTTTTATTAAAAAATTTATAAAAGTTGCTGTGAACTATAGAATAAGAAAATGACAAGTAATTCTAAATTGGGAAAAGAACTCATTTTCTGGATACTTCTTTCACTTACTGATGCCATATAAACTTACTTAAAAAGGTTTGCAAGCATCTGCATTTCTACTGTTTTTTTTCTCGAGAAGTTACAACAACAATGTTAAGCACTATTTATGGAATTGTTTATTTACAAGAATAATTTGGCAAAGTTTAACCAATGTACCCACAAAATGAGGGAGTATACATTAATAGTGGTGTTGAGAAGAATTAATAATATAGAGGTTTAATTGTCTCAGATTAGTATCAGAAGTAAAAGTTAGTTTTTTTTACCAGCAGACATAATCTTAACAACATAAGTTATGTGAATGACACTAATGACAACAGACAACTAAGAGAAGGTAGCAAAGAAAAGGGAGAAGAAAGGACTAAGCATTAACTGTAAGAAAAACAGAATATAGGGTTGGATAGACAACCAAAGATGTGAGCTTCAAATTGGAGAATCAAGCAGCTACAGAAATTTACTTTGCAATACATCTAAATAATGAAAAATGCTAGAAACAAAGAAAAGTCTACTGAACTGCTATGTCATATCATTCCTCCCATATGACAGTGAATGCAGGACAATTTCATCATAAATGAAGAGTAGATGTGAGGCAACAGAGATATTGTTCTACAGAAGGATGCTGAGAAAACCATGGACTGAACATGTGAATAGTGAGGAAATTTCCAAAAAAAAAAAAAAAAGGAACAAGAAGGATACTTTTACTTTGTATCAAAAAGAGGCAAATGAAATTTCTACAATAGATAATGAAGAAAGAGAGTTTGGAGAATTTAATATTCACGGGATAGACTGAAGGCAGGAGGAGTAGAAGGAAACAGTAAGTAACTTATCTAATGAGCTTGTGTGAATGGATGATAGTGGGGAGATAAAGAGGGATAATTAAGGGTCAAACATTGTTTAGAGATATAAGAGACAAGAAGACTATCCAGAAGAGATACAGCACAAAAAAAGATTTCTAACATTTTTTTTTTGTAGTTATTCTTTTATTTTCTTTAACCATTCTGCAATATTCAATTGGTTGTTACCTTCAATTGTGCGTTTAAAGTGAAATATGAGTTAGATTAAAAATGGTCTTAATTTTCAACACTACCTGATTTATTTTTGTCCTATTTATTTTTCTTAACCAACTAATAATTAAAAAAACAAAATCATGAATGCAAAAAGATTATCACAAATGATTTACTGTTTTCTGTAACTATATTTTTTATTGTCAGATTTTATTGAAAATGTGCTACAGTCAGGAAAAAAAAATCAAAGTAGTATAAAATTGCAGAATAAAAAAAAAAAACGAAAAAAGAAAAAAATTCCCTTTTCAGGGAAATGATGTTTGCAAACACAATTATTACATTTTTTCAAGGAAAGCAATTTCATGTTTCATTTTTTATTTCACCATAACTTTTATTTCTTTGAGTACACTACATTTTTAAAATACAGTTAAAAGGGAAACCTGATACGCAATTGAGCGTCTACTTTCAAAAGGTAATTTTTAGTGCCTTATCAAATATGAATAAAGACAAAAGGAAAACTTATCTTAGCTGACATGTTTCATCCTCTGAGGAACTTTATTATCAAGGTAAAAATCCCCCAGAGTATGAAACAAATCAGCTAAGTTTTCTTTTTGTCTTTCTTCATATTGTCCTTTTACAGATATACTCCATCTGAAACTTTTACACATTATTAAATATTCAAGATGAAATCTAAAAAAGTATAGAATTCTCTCCCACCATAGCTCTGTTTTTATCAGTTGTACCATTGTCTTATATAGGGTATAGCTTCACAAAGGGGGTAACTTGATTCATTTATTCATTTTCTACAGTTTCTAAACCCTTTGCAGATGATTTAAAGGCAGAAAATATTTTTGGATTGTAATAATGGTTTTGTGATACAAGTCTTACTAATTAACCCATAGTGTGGGGGAGAAAAATGGATCCATATCTTTTCCAAGGATATTTGTGTGTAATTGAATGTAACAAACTTGACTCTCCAATTAACAATTCTGAACCATTATCAATTACACCAGTGACACACCCAAACTTATAGCACCTGGTATTTCCAAGTGGTTTCCCATCTAAGTACTGAGCAGGCTTGATGTTGCTTAACTTCAGCAATCATACAGGAACTGGTCTTTCAACGTGATGTGGCGGTAAGCCATACTAACCACACATACAAGCTTATAGAATCCGGTATTCCTAAGCAGTCACCCATCTAGGTACTGACCAGGCTCAATGTTGCTTAACTTCATACTGGAACTGGTCTCTAAATGCCATATGATTGTAGGCCTATAGTAACTTGAAGACAACTGCCAGTAGAGACCAGATAAACAAATGTTGCTTTCAAAGGACCATATAGGAACTTGTCACATTTTGTATGGGACGATGGAAAAATATTCAAGCAAAGCTTGTTTCAGAAGGTGCATATCAAAATTGCATCATGGTTGTCAACTTATTGCACTACTGCTCTTAGATAAACTAAAAGCAGTGAGCAAGCAACATTTACACATGTAAATGACAAGTGTAAGCAAATGGAACAAATTTCAACAGTGTGATATTTTATATTTTTGTCTTTATATAACTGGAGTAACAAAAGAGAAAAAATACTAAGTAAAAGTATCCTCATTGCTCACATGTTCAGTCCATGATATTCTCAGAATTCTTCTGTAAAAGCATATCTCTGTTGACTCATGTCTAATCTTCATTTACAATGTAATTGTCCTGCATTCACTGCATTTTCTTTGTTTTTAGCAAAATTTTCTTATCTTTTAATACTTTGCTTAGCTTCTGGAAAGCATTTTTCACTATTCAGATGTATCACATTTTCCATCATTTGTTATTACACCACCCAGGGAAATAAACTTAGTATGCATACAAAAGAAAGAAGTCATTAAAAGAATTGCGTGAGTGTATGTGAAAAAGGAGAAAGGTATCCCCATGCCCAGGAAACGGTTCTGGTGAATGCCATTGCTACAGGATGTTGGTCGGAAATGAGAGAAAAGGAGCAAAAAGAGGAAAACAGAAAGCGTCTTATTTATATAGTTGTATGACAGCACCACATTACAAATTCTTGGTAAAACTGGCAAAGCTTTGTGAGTGCTTGGAAGAAAGATTTGTTCCCCATTTATGTTTCTCTCACTATGGGCATTACTGATATAATAACACCAATATTTCATGGACAGAATAGAATGACTGAAAGGAAAAGGAATGAAGAGTATGCTTTGTTCTCAAAGAGACTTTTATATTACTAAGACATAAACAAATCTTATATATACACAGCAAAACAGAGTGTAAAGAGAAACAAAAAGGGAAGGACTTACATATAATATGGAGATATTCCTGTACCTGTAAGAGGGTGAAGAGAAAAGTACAAGGAAGATGACATATGAGGATTTAGTGTTAAAACCATCCAAGATTCAGTGGTAACAGTTGCTCTTAAGTGGCAGAGAGAAGAAAATGGAGGAGATGGAGTCTACCACAAGCAAAGTCTTCTTTGGTTAGACAAAATTTTTTTTTACTGTGGAGACTGTGGACAATTACCAAAATAATAAGGTTTACATCTATTCACCAGGAAACATTCCTGAAGGTTTCAGAACATACTGGTATCATGGTTTAGGCAGTTATTGCTTCTGATAGTTGAAATTACACTTAAAGGAGTTAAAGTGAATAGCAGAGTTTACCAGCAAATATTGGAAAGAGATGTGTTTCTCTGGCTGTCAACCACATTTAGAAGTCTATGTCTTCACTCTTCAAGACAGAGTCACCAGAGAAATGGTACAAGAGACATTTCTGTGGATTTTTGACAAGTTAATTGGGTCTCTATCAAGCTCTGACATTAATCCTATTGACTTTGCAATATTGCCCGTATTGGAGAGTAATGTTTCACATATACTCAAGTGTGTCAAACCTGAAAGAAGCTCTGATGATGTAGAAAAGAACATGCAAATAAATTGTATTATATTTCTTCTCTCTGGTAATGATAATGAAAGCTGTCCTTCCTCACAAGTTTGACACTTCATCCTACAATGTTAACTAAAAGTACATTTATACTCAGAATCAGAAAAAGAAAGCTGAAATTTCTTAGGTACAAAATGAGGAAAGAGGATTTGGAAAATTTAACTCTCACAAGGCATATCGAGGGCAAGAGAAATAGAGGAAGCCAACAGGCAACCTACTGGATGAGTTTGTGTAAATAAATGTCAAAACAGGCAGTGGGGGTCTTGACAAAAGGAGAAATGCTGTTAAGGGCCATGATGGATAGGAGGTTGAGGAAAGCGAAACCAGACACATCTTGAAGGGATATTGGCATACAGAAGATATGCTAATTTAAATATTAGAGTGGAGGCTATAGTCACCTCTCCACCCAAGAAAGAACAGCAATCTTAGTATATCAGTCTGTCTATAAGAACACTCGATTTATTTATTTTTTATGGCTTATTAACCTTTTGCGGGTTATTTAAAGCCAGAAAATATTTTTAGATTGGAAGAATTTTTTTTGAAAAAATACTGATTACTGATACAAGTCCTACTAATTAACCCATAGCTGAAGGAGAAGAGGTAGATTCATTCCTTTCTGAAGGGTATTTGCATATAAGTCAATATAACAAACCCAACTGGAATTGGAACTCGGCTCTTTGAACACTTACTTGATTACAGACTACGATACTAGACTTTACAACACAAACATTGAATAAAAGCAAATATTTATAGAGAAAAACTTTTATAGCTGTAAAAAGAAGTTGTATTGTTTCAGGAGTTATACTGTTCTGACAACAACCATTTTCAATTTTCCTACAAGAGAACGTTATTACCTAAATTAACATCTATTATCAGAAATAAAATAAAACTTAATAATGAGTATTTTTTTAATCATTTCTCCCCCACACAAGGCAATAAAGCCACTAAGACAGAAAGTGAAACTGAGAGAATGTTGTTGAAGAAAAAGGACAATTAAAAAAAAAATAGAATTCTGGAAGACAGAAGATGATGACTGATGTTCCATTTAAATTTTTGAGAATCATCATTAATAAGAAAGCATGAAGCTGGAAGAGTATTTGACAGGCAGGATGTGCAAGAAAAGAAATCATAGAATTTATGCTTACACTTAATTTCAACAGTAAAATGATGAGGTCTAGCTGCAAATTTACTACTGGGATCATATTTGATGCCATATGAGACCCTTCCCCTGCTTATATTTAATATTACTCACATAGGAAATTGGAAACTCCAATAACTCTAATAGAAGTTAGTGAAGGAAATCAAGAAGAAAGGACTAAACAACAATTGCAAAAAGATGGAATGTATGGTTGTTAGCAAAAGAAACAACCTAACATGCAAATTACAAATTAGAGATACCAAAATCATAATAGTACAACAATTTAAATATCTTGTAAGTGTTTTAACAGAGGATGGAAAGTGAGACAGTAAAATCCAAAGGTGCATTGGGAGAGTGAAAGGTGACTTCCAAAAGATAAGCAAAGTATTGAGAAAAATTCTGTTAGAAACAAAGAAAAGAGTACTGAACTTTTATGTAATATCAGTCCTCGTATATGGCAACAAATGCTTCAGAGATGAAGAGGAGACTCGAAGCAACAGAAAAGTTGTTCTACAGAAGGATGCCAAGAATAGCATGGACGAAACATGTGAGCAATGATGAAATTTTGAAGAAAATGGAAACAAAAAGACCCCTATGCTTAACATCAGAAAGAGATATTTCTAGTGCACACAATAAGGAAAGTAAGTTTGGAAAGTTTGATACTCATAGGAAAGATTGAAAGCAAGAGGGATAAAGGAAAACCACATATAACCTATCTGGTGAATTTGAATAAATTGATGGAGGAGCATGGTTTAGGAGAGATAACAAGAAGACAAAATTTATTAAAAACTGCAAAGGAAAGGAAATTGTAGAGAGCCCTGTAGGAACATGGCATATCAAAGAAGAATATGGAGTTTGGCAAAGTGTAGATACAAGTCTAGGTTCTTTTTGGATGTATTAGCCTATTAGATATGTTGAGGTTCTTATATGAAGTTGAGATATTTTTAATCTTTCTTTGTGCTAGAAATAAAGTGTTTTGACATGTTTTTCAGTATGGCTCTTTCCAGTCCTTGCTTAGCTTTTGAAGGCATCTTTTACTATTCTAATGTATCTTCAGATTTCAGTGTCATATTTTCCATCCTTTGGTAAAATCCTTTTTAAATATTTAAATTTCCATACTTGCTTGATTTTTGTAACTTTGATTTGTAGTTCATATCTTAGGCTGACCCTCTTGCTGACAACCATATACATATTGCCTTTTTACAATTGATGGTTAGTCCTTTCTTCTCACTTTCCTTTATTACTTTCTCTGAGAGTATCTGCAGTTTCCTTTCTGTGTTTGTTATCGACAAAATTATAGCAAACATTAAACATTGACTCCCTTGCTTAACAAAGAAAAGAATTTCCATGTTCAACATTATGGAACAAGCTTTTGTGCACATACTGCTGAAAATAGAAAAACTTATTTTAAAAGCATTCTCTTAGTATTTAAATTTTCTGTTTTCTATGATTTTTTCCTTTGCATTCAGTCAGTTATGTGCCATGTGTGATACATGCTTAAGCAATCATGTATCTTTTGATACATGACTGATGAGGTAGATTTTTTTCCTGCAGTAGGTTGCCATTTCTTTCTGTGGCAGACCAGTTGCCATCCAAGGCTATAGAACCCGGTCAGTCCAGTTATTTACCCACTGGGGAAAAGAAAAGGATTCATATCTTTCCCAAAGGTATTAGCATATAAGTGAATGTAATGGATTCAACTGGAATCCAAACTCGGCTCTTCCATTCCTCAATCCGAGCCACTATCCATTACTCTACTGTGCTTTGCATTACTAAGACAAAAAATCTCTCACTTTTCATGCAATTAATATAATGTAGGTTGTGGTGTAATGAGTATTTGATCAGAATGAGAAATCAGAGCTGAGTTCAAATTCCAATCAAGTTCATTACATTCACTTACACACAAAAACCTTTAGTAAAAGGTATGAATCCATCTCTTCTTCCCCCAGCTAAGGGTTGAATAGCAGACTGGCTTCTATAGCCTTGGTTGGCAAATAGTCTACTGCAGAAAGAAATGACGACATATTAAGAGAAAATTTTCTGCTTAGTCAGTCATG